CAACATAGAGTTTAATTAGACAAAAAGTACTGTGAAAAAGTGTTTACCTGTATATCGACAAGGGAAGTTAGGCGCAAAAGCAGCTCAAGGATTTTTTTACAAGGTTCCGGCCCTCCTTGCCAGTTTTTCCAGTCATCGTCCTTTAAAGTGGACAAATCACCTAAGAGGTTATTAGCTTTATCAACAAGACAGTGAATGCAATAATATGTTGCCGGGCTACCAGCGGGAAGATGTCGAACCAAGGCTGCAACTCCAGAAGCCATGCCCTCGAAAGGAGTAATGCCAGGATATCCCTATATTCATAACAATGAAGAAGATTAGTTTAGTCCCACAAGTTTGATACCATGTTCTGGTATTTTACTTTCAGTTTCAATAAGTTTTATGTACCTCTAGCGATCTTTGCATGTAATAAAAAACAAGTTGCTCCTTCAATGACACTCGTTCATCATCGGGTTCTTTTCCTGAAGACATGAATGCTACAAACATTGAATGTGAGGCTCGAGCTACTTTTTCGTTCGGATGTCCCATGTATCTATTCACCATTGTTATCAGGAACCAAAGTTTATACAGTTTAAATGATCCTAAGCTTTTCAAGTAAAAGTAATCATGTATTTTAGGATACAGGAACATAGATGAAGCGACCACCCTCCTAAACACGAGAGCAGGCACTAGTTCAATGCAAGTCGGAATAACTCGGACATAAAACAAAACACGAGCGGTTTGTACCTCATCCTTGGACCATTCATACTCCATTTTCTGCTTGGAGGAAAAGTCTACAAGATGAAATTCAAATCCAAGTAAAACTCACAGTTTGTAGAACAACATGAAAAAATATGCGAACTTTAAACTGTTGCAAAATTACTTGAACTTAGTAGAGTAACCCTCAATTAAAATGGTACGTAACAAAAGAAAATACCTTTCCAAGTGGTCAAGTCCACGTAGTTGGCATGGATTCCACAAAAGAGATGCAGGCAGACTCGTTTTCCTGAACACATGCAACAACTCTTCGAATTGTATCCATATATTCCGGCAAACGAATACGTCGAAATATTCTAAGCAAGAGAAAGAAACTAATATCTGGACTGAATGCTCCCTCTGCGCTTCTTGAGAGAAGTTTGAATTTAATCTCTGCTTTGTTACGGCCAAAGCAAAAACCGCAACCATAAGAAAGCAGATTCGCAATTTTCTCCAAATTAACTAATAGCTCATTGTTTCTTTCATTAAGCAACAGAGCAACCTGTCGGTGACCAGAGTAAACTGACAGTAGTCCCATATAAGATTCTCCACGAAACTTTTGCTCTCCTCATCTGCAGAGACATACTGGTTGCAAAAACACCAGTTATGACACCCTGCTTCCTTAAAAAGAATACCGTCTAGATGTCTTTTAATCTCGTTGATCCCAAATTCAGACCCACTACTATTGATAAACTGAAGAATATGCAGATATAAGTGCCTTAGGGGAAAGACTTCCCTTAACAATGCCGATGCAAGGCACAGAAGCACAGGGGCAGAGAATGACACTGCACCACTTCGAGCCAAGGCTAAAGATAAACATTGTCGAAGAAGACTATTTGCGGGGTCATTATCTGAGATTATAGATCCTTTAGTTTTAGAAATCAAGTTGTGCTACAAAGGCTATCTGACGTTCTGCAGAAATCCGTAGTATCGAAACAAACTCTAGCCCTTGGCCATTGGCTGTATTTCTACTAGCTCTCAATACTCCAGCTGCAACCATAACTAGAGCAAACGGAACATAGCTCACCTCCGAAGTCCCCAAAGTCTGCTGTGAAAAAGATTCATTTTCTTGAGGGAACGTGATTTTATGTAACCGGAAACAACCCATTCAACCAAATGCAAGATCATTAGAGCAGTAGGAACTGTAGTACGAGGCCCATCTTCCTTTCCCCAAATTCCCAAAAAGAATCCAAAACTCTAACAAGAAGCACATCCACAGAAGAATAATGCATATCCGAGCCCAGCCAGCACATCCGGGATAATCTTCTCCTAATAACCAATTGGTAATCTTCTTCCAAAAGCCTACAAAGCAACTCCAAGCATGCTATTTTTGAGCTTTCAGACATAGAAGGCACAAAATGAAATGGCCCCTAAAATAAGAATACCTTCAGCAAGAAAAGAAGGGCTTTTCTTCGAACCATTCAGTAGCAAATATGCGAGAAATGACATCCACAGCTGAATCAATGAGCGCAGCAGATGGCCTAACAGACTTCCTGACCCAAATATAAAGAAGCCTGAGCAAGATAGGGTATGATTCAGAAGGAAGATCGAAACTTTGGGATGAAAGTACAGATAGAAGAAGCTTGGCTTGAGGATCAGCAACATGGAGAGAAGCTTGTGAGTTAAGGAGGGTTTTCAATGATTGAAGGATATGAGGATGAAATGTCTGGTTCTGAAGTGAATCTCTGAGCTCAGACCAGGCTTGAATGATGGCACGAGCAGATGAAGATGACGACGAAGAATGTCCGGAGACAGTTTGGTTAATGCCACCAACATTAGTCCTCAACCATTGTTCAAGAAAAAGGGTATTACTTTGTCTTGCCATTTTATCAAATACTCATCCCCAAACTGCAGAAACATAAATAGCAATACAATTAGGGTTCAAAAGGACAATCTCAACATTTCTCAATTAATAGCTTTAATAATGATTAAAAACATACAATTAAATATTTATTACTAATCTAAATTCAAAAATAATTAACCAACGCGCAAGTCAAATTTCAAGCCGTATTTCGAAATTAAAATTTGTCTTGCCATTTTATGAACTATTCATTTCCCAAACTGCAAATACAACTAGAGTTCAAAAGTTCAACTTCAACATCATTTCTTCAATCAATATGATTTAAAAATGATTAGAAACCTACTTTCAAATCTTCATCACCAATAAAAAATTCCAAAACTTGTTAACCAACACAAGTCAAAGTACAAAATTTAGCTCTGGGGGGTCAAAATTTGATCAAATTTTCAAGCAATAATTGGAAACCCAGTTTCCAAGTTCAATTTGCCTGAGAATCAGCTAAAACCTCAAAGAAAGAATCAAGAGAAAAGGAGTTTTTGATTACTTACAGTGAGCTTGAGAACGGGTGTTCAAATTATTGGATAAGGAAACTATCGATGCAAAGAGTACCTCTTTGCTTTCCCAAGTGTTCAGAGACTTCAAATTCTTCTAAAAAATAATCAAAATCAAAGCCAGAAAACGTAGACTCAACGCTCAGCTGTGTAATATTTCTGCTCGTAATTAATTTCATAAATTTATACACAGCACGTTGCGGTGTTTTCTTTTCTCAATAATCCTATAAAATCAGATTTGAAATGGTCTAATTAAGAATTTAGTTCTTTATTTTAATAATTTACAATTTAGTCCTATATTTTAAGAAAACCGAACTATTTGAACTTAAAACTATTAATTTTGCTAGTTACTTACATATTAATGGTTAAACTAGTAATTGTTTCTATTTTTTCCAAAATATTATTAAAAGTTCAGTGATAAAGAAATTTAATATAAAATTATAAAAAATAAAAACAACATTTTATATTAAAAAAACATTAATGTATTATATATATATATATTTATAGCTTATTTGAGGAGACAAATATCTAAATGTATTTGCATGAATCAAATGACTCTAATGGTTAAGGATAATTGTTATCCTTTAAAGTCTCGTATTCAAAGCAATGTGTGTGAGTGTTCATTATCAAATGATTGAGAATCTTTCGAACAATATTATCTTATAATCACTCCAGACTACTCAATTAGCGGGGACAAAACATGCAATTTTTTTCATTGAGAACAAAATTTCAATTACAAGGTTGGGATTTTATAAAATATAATTTTAACCATAAATAGTATTTTTTTATTAAATTAAAGTAAGTACAAGTAATATATGTTCAAAATAACTCTTAACCGTTTGATATTGAACGCTCGTACTCCTAATAGTAAAACACCGGTTAACATGACATAATTAATTTAGGGTAAATTACACATGTTAGTCACTAAAATTTAAGTTTAATATTGATTTTAACATTGAATTTTAAAACACTTCAATAAAGCTTAAATTTAATTTTAGGTTTTAATTAGGATAATGAGCCATCATTAAATTATTAATAACATAATGAAAATATCGTTATTTTTCTATTTTTTATTGTAAAAAAATCAAATTTTTGAGTTATCGATTATGTCGTTCGTCATGATTATTATGCGACAAGATCAATATCAAAATGTTGATATTTTATTCTTATTTCTTTAGATAAGATTGATTTTTTCACGAAACTTGCACAAATCGATGAAAATTTATCAAAGGCTTCATATGCTTTGATAGTTGACGGATAGACTAATTTCTAGATATATTATTTGTCTTCTCTAAAGAATATTTCTCATTATTCAAATTTTTCAAATAAATATCATAAATCCTTAAATTTAAGAAAAGCTCCAAACCCTAAATTGATTTTTTTAGTTTTGCCAGTATTAAAGGGATTTTAAAAATATTTAGATTGATAAAGAAATAGAATACGACAAAATAAAAAAAAATTCAATTATAATGTAATATTTGTTTATAATATTTTATCATTTAATCATATTTTTTTAATCATATTTTGTACACGCAACAACTCAAACTTAAGATTTTTATAAATAATATTTCCTTTAATCATTGAAATCACTTGATGAATTTTTAATATGATCGTAAAAGATATTAAAAATAGTAATTTTTTATAATAATTATATAATAACAATTTTGATGAAACATATGATAAATTTGAAATAAAAATATATATTTTAATTTTCACGTCGGCTTTATTAAAGAGGAGATTGAAAAAAAAAACTTGAAAAAGTAAATAAATAAATAAATAAAAGTCTTTTAACCTTTATTTTCCAACATTTGTTAGTTAACACTTAATTGGCCATTTTTCACTTTCTTTTATTATTACCACCGACTCGGTGAGAAAACTACTTTCTTTTCAACTCGGGTTTGTGAATCATGTTGACTCGGTGTGAACAGATTTGTTTTACATTTTTCACTCTCAGGTAATACTAATCTTCTCTTTTTAATCATGGGGTTTCCCCCAATTTGATATTGATATTTTCAATAAAATGAATAGTGCTACTTTAAGAATAAAGCTTTGATTCCCCCCATCAGATGTTTGGAGAACAGTGATAATGGAGAACCCTAAAACCCCAGAAACCCTAGAATCAAAAAACCCGGATTTGGATTATGATAAGAATGAGGGGTCAAAGGAAGATAATTGTTTGGGGATTAATGGAGTTGATTCGGTTAAGAGGATACGAGAAGATCATATTGGTGTCGTAGTGGCCGGATCAGATGAGAGGTTGGAAGAAAGAGTGGATAGTGGAAGTGAGGACAATGCGGTTGTAAAACATGATAAGAATGAGGGGTCAAAGGAAGATCATTGTTTGGGGATTAATGGGGTTGATTCGGTTAAGAGGAAACAAGAGGAACATATTGGTGTTGAAGTGGCCAGATCAGATGAGAGGTTGGAAGTAAGATTGGATAGTGGAAGTGAAGACAATGAAGTTGTAGAACATGCTAAGAATGAGGGGTCAAAGGAAGATCATTGTTTGGGGATTAATGGGGTTGATTCTGTTAAGAAGATACAAGTTTCCGGAGACAACATATCACTTTATGTAGACTTTTCAAGTTTTTTATGTAGACTTAATGATGGAGTTGATGCAAAGAAAGAGGATCATATTGGTGTCGTAGCGGCTGGATCAGATGAGAGGTTGGAAGTAAGAATGGATGGGGAAGTGTGGACAATGTGGACAATGTGGTTGTAGTAACTTTTAAGGACGAGGGGAAAAGGGAAGATCATTCAGGGATCAATGGAGTTGATTTGGTTAAGAGGATACAAGTTTCTGGAGACAACATATCGCTTTATGTAGACTTTACTGGTACTTTAAATGAAGTAATCAGTAGTGGGTTAATGATAAGTAAGGAGGAATTGCAGGAACCTAGAAATAAGGAGTTAATGAGCGATGGGCAGGAGCATAAGTTTCATGTAGGTGATTTTGTTTGGATTAGAATCAAAGTCAGAGTTGGTGGCCCGGAAAGATTGTTGATCATTCGGAGGAGCCGGAGTATGCTTTGGTCCGTGACGATAAAAACTGCTTGCTGGTTGGGTCTTTTGGTAGTAGCCATGTTGCTTGGTTCCGCCCATCTCAGTTGAAGCCTTTCCATTTGAACTTTGATCAGATGATTAGACAGAATAAAGATAGAAGCTTTCTCAGTGCGGTTGAGAAGGCTATAGATGATTTCGGGAAGCACCTGAAATTGGAGATGGCATGTCATTGTGTTCTGAAAGAAAATAAGTTCTTATCTAGTAATTCCGCTACTAATGCTTCTATGGCAGAATGCAAATCTGGTCCATTGGGGGTGTTTCTGCCGTTCAGTTTGAGCCTGAGAAGTTTCTTTATCAAATAAAAATCTTGCACAGGTTGTTTCTAACCCCAGTATGTTCGACTTTATTGTCCTACAGAACTATTTGTTGGCCTTTTACCGTTCCATGGGCTATTGTCAATTGCCCATGCATCAACTTTGGGGACCTACATATGATGCAGACAGTGCTGGTTGCAGTTCAATTGGTGGAAAAGATGCCAATGATGGTTTAGCTGAAGAAAATAGCTTCTCATGTGAGTTATTTCCGGAAAAATCTGATTTAAGAAAGAACGAGATGTCCCCGCTCAATCAGAATGGGTTGTTGGCCAAGATCTCTGATGAGAATGGGAGTGCATTTGCGGAGAACTGTAGAGACACTATTGGAGCAAGTGTTGGCTCAAGCAAACGGGTTTCAACTTCAAGAGAACGAGGAAAATTTATTTTGAGGTGACGAATAACAGCACTCAGGTTGAAGAGCTTGACCAGGGCATGTATGTTTCTTCCGTAGGAAATGGCACCGAATTAAGAAATGAATGGGCTTTGAGTTGAGAGAACGAAAAGAGCAAGTATTTGTCATATCCTTATGTTAACTGGGAAAATAAAGGTGTAAATGAACCGAAGATCCTATAACTCTGAAGTTTCCTCACGAGGGAGTAAAGGAATTTATCGGGTCTCCTTCAGCCGTCAAAAGAAGTGCAAAGGGGTTCCACAAACATGGCATATGAAATTCACAAGGGAAGTGATGTTACCAATTATCCAGAGCTCAACTATACATCTTCTGCCGAGCTGCTTTCTAAACTACATTTGGTAGCTATGATCGCCTGTTCACAACCGAAAGTAAAAACATTGATCTGATTGAATGGTTCTTTTCCATATTTAGAATTAGAGCATATCATGATGAATCCATTTATGAAATGCACTGCAATAATATGCTAACCAGAAAGAGGCTACTGCTACCGATCTTTCCTTGCCATCTACTGAAATGATGCCTACTTCCTCACACCTTACTGGGAATAAATGCAAAAGAAAAAGAAGCTTCCGAACTCTGGTACAATTAACTAAATCTCTTTCTAGCATGTCGGATATGAATATGAACTTTGCTGATCAGCAGACCATACTGGCTAGTAACCTACCTGATTTAAATGGGAAAGGTGCTATATCCATCCTGTCGGCTGAAGATTTACAAGTGAGCCATTCTGAGCAAAGTAACAGAGACGGGTTACCTGATCCTGGTAGAATCTTTGTGCCCCTATCGAGACCAAACATGGTTTCATTTGCATCTGAAAGTAAGCCAGGTCAGAAGAAGAGAGGCGAAAGCCAAAAGTGCCATCCGGCCATCCAATCCCTACAGAACCCAACTCATCGATAAAAGGTTTGCAGGAGGCAAACATGTTTCACCTGAAGTGAAACCCGTGTGGAAGAGGAGGAGGAAGAAAGGAGAGGCTAATTTAAGCATGCGAAATATAATTGTGAATTATAATAGAGCAGGAGCAAGTCGAAAACCCCTTGCGAAAACTCTTCACTTGACATTCATCCCTGGTTCTTCAATGCCTTCAAAAGAATCCCTGGTTGCAACATTTTCCACGTTTGGGCCATTGAAGGAATCCGAGCTTCAGATATTTAAAGATTCTAGTAGTGCCTGGGTTATATTTATGCGAAGTGAAGATGCTGCAAAAGCATTGCGGAGTTTAAAGGAGAGCAATCCTTTCGGTGCTACCCTTACGAAATATCACCTTTACAATGACACTATTCTAACTACTCGACGCATGGAGGGATTCCAATTGCCTGCAAGTCTTACTGGTCCAGTGCCTCACCTTGCTGATGCGCCTCCTATTGACTTTATAAGGCGGAATCTCGAGACAATGACACAAATGCTAGAGAAATCGGGGATAATCTTTCTCAGAGATAAAGGCAAAACTAGAGAGTGAGATTAAAGGACTCTTGAAAAAGGTAAGATCATGTCTTAGTTCCTCATGTCCCTAGTTAGAACTGTAAATTGCATGGTTTCTATGTAAGTTTCCTTTTTATCTGTAGACTCTTTTGTCTGAGAGGTTCAATGTTTTGTTCTCTTGTTAGCTCTTGCTTTACCTGCTTTCTCTATATGTGAATTCAAGAGCTGAGAGAAAGTTTAGTTTATGTATCAAGGAAGAATTAAGCAGCAGAAATGATGTGAATATCTTCATATTCACATTAAACGTCGATGTTTACGCCATTAAATGAGTCTTCAAGCATGTTCATTGTTACCCCTTCATTTATTAGGCTGGCATGGCATAAACATCATCAACATGTTAGAACTTGTCTTTCTTTGTTTTCGGATTTCCAGGTGTGATTTCTTAAATCGGGATTTAATTTCGAAAGTTACGGATTTCTTTGATCTATCTGCTCACGCTGAGCATGGTGAAATTCATCATCAACATGTTTTGTGGTGTGATTTGAAGGAGACTACTATCAACAATCATTCTCACCCATCTCTTGCTTAACAAGAGAATTCTTTTCTGATATTGCAGAATTTTAACAGCATGAACATGATCATTCACCAGAGAATTCAGCTTCTATATACGTTATAAGTAATCCGTTTTAACTCGAAATGACTCGAATGAGTTGATTGTGATTATCTTATTAGCTAACATGTATTTGATTGACGAATTTTCATTTAAAAGCAATGCCACTAGGCCTCGGAAAAGTCTTTCTTAATGTATATAAATGTTAATTTTTAAAATTAATATTTCAGTATCTTATTAGTTTTTGAATAATGAAATGAACTGCTTTGATCTTCAGTCATGAACGCCTCTATTTCCATGGCTGCAGTTGGGTTAATTCATTTTATTTTTGTATTATGTTTGTTCTCATTTAATTATATTTGCATTTTAATTACATTAAAAAATTTAAATAATATTATTCTGCATTAATTAAATCTAATGAATTAAAAACACAATTGACATTGATTTTGGAATAATAAAATATTAATGAATTTAATTATATTAAAATTTTCGTGAAAATTGTCTTCTTTTATGGGTAAAGTTACTAAGTAAGTTATATTCACGTGATTGTTCTGGTCATTAAGTTTTAAAATTTTTAAATTATTATAAAATAATTACTACAAAATTACAATAAATGTAAAACTTTGATAAATTTGATAACTATTTTATAAAAAAAATGGATAAGAATGATTGATCATTTTATAATATTTTGATAAATTTAATGATCATTTATAACTTTTTAAATTTTAATGACTAAAACGATCATTTTCGAATAATTTAGTTACTTCAGAGGTACTTTACCCTTTCTTTTTCTCTCTTTTGATCTATTTGATACAGTAAAAATTTGCCTAATTTTCAGAATCTCATAATCTACTTTCTCTTTCACATTTATTTATTAGTAAATCTCCTTTACCAGTCACCAGTCGCCCAAAATCCTTCTTTTTCAACTCGGCTGTATGATTCATTTGACTCGTCGTCAACTCAGTTTTGAGTGTGAATGCCCCGATGTTTTTTTTTCACTTGTTCCTCCTCTCAGGTACTTATAATCTCTTTTCTAATTCTGGGTTTTTTTCCGGCCAATATGTGTTAATCATTTTTAATGGCGTTTGAATTCTTTCTCTTTATCAGATGCTTAGAGAATAGTGATAATGCATAACGGTAAAACCCCAGAAAGGTTAGAATCGAAAAACCCAGATTCGGAACTCTTAGGGGATGGTTATGAAGCTACTGATTTGCCCTCTTTGATCGAAAGTAGTAATGGGTTAGGCTTCATTTTTTATGTTCAGCTTCAAGAAAATGGTAATGCTATTGGAGGAGATAGCTTAGCCATGGATGTAAAGAGAATGGTGTTAGTGTTATTGACGCTGCAGAAGGTTGTTTATTGGATGATGGAATTGATAAAATGAAAGACGAACAAATTGGGTTTGAAGTAGATAGTGGAAGTGGGGACATTGCCGTTGTCGGTCCTGTTAAGGATGAGGGGGCGAAGGAAGATGATTGTACGGGGATTAATGGAGTTGATTTGGTTAATAGGGTACAAGTTTCCGGAGACAACATATCGCTTTATGTGGACTTTCCGGGAACTGTAAATGAAGTAAACAGTACTGGGTTAACTGCAAGTGAGGATGAGTTGAAGGAAGCCGGAAATGAGGGGGAGTTGGTAATTGTTGGACTGGAACATAAGTTTTATGTAGCTGATATTGTTTGGGTTAGAACGAAAAGTCTGAGTTGGTGGCCGGGAAAGATCTTGGAACCTTCAGATGCGCTGGAGTATGATTTGATTGGTGACCAAAAAAACTGCTTGCTGGTTGGGTACTTTGGTATTAGCCATGTAGCTTGGTGCCACCCATCTCAGTTGAAGCCTTTCCTTGTGAACTTTAATCAGATGATTACAAAGAACAAAGCTAGAAGCTTTCTTGGTGCAGTCGAGAAGGCTATGGATGATCTCGGGAAGTTCTTGAAAGTGGAGCTGACATGTTCTTGTGTTATGAATGAAAATAAGTTTTTTAATAGTAATTCTACTACTAAGAAAGGAACTTCGGTGGAAGAGTGCAAATCTGGTCAATTGGCCGAGTTTTCTGCCCATCGGTTTGAGCCTGTGAAGTTTCTTTGTCAGCTAAAAAATCTTGCACAGATTGTTACAAAGCCTGATATGCTCGAGTATGTTGTCCTACAGAGCTATTTGTCAGCATTTTTCTCTTCCATTGGACATTTCCAGTTGCCCTTGCATCAACTGTGGGAAACAATATATGATGCAGAGAACACTGGAAAAAAAAGCATACCATATAAATTCTTGTTGAAACAATCTGATGTAATGAAAAATGAGATGATACAGCTCAATCAGAATGGGGTTTCGGCCAAGATTTCAGGTCAGAAAAGTGGGGCTTTTCCAGAGAGCTGCTGAGTCGTCATTGCTGCTGAAGGTGTTTTCTCGGGGTTTTTACATAACTGATACCGTTTGATTTGAATTTTACTTTTCTGACACCGTTTGATCAATATTTCCAGAACTAGCACCCTTTCTGCTGATTGGCAAAGGCGCGTCCCCGGGGCGCGCTTTACCCGTGTTTTTCGCTGAGTTGGATGCCACGTGTGAAAGGCGCGTCCCCGGGGCCTTTGCCAACTCAGCAGACACGTATTTTGTTTTATAATAAATAGTTTATTTTTATTATTATTATAAATTAATAATATATTATGTAAAATGTTTCGATTATAATGTAAGAATTATCAAGTTTCGAGTATTTTTTATTTGATTATCGATCTATTAATTTTATCAGTTAATTATTTAAATGTTATCAATCTAGTCAATATTTAACGAAAATATTGATGCATAAGTTAATAAATTAGTATGATTACATATTTAATCTTCAAGACTTACATATTTTATAAAATTAGTCTTATTGAAAATTTAATTTAATAAATTTAAAGTTATAAACGAAAAAATTATAACTAATAATATATAAATTATATTAAATAATTATATTAAATATATTTATATTTTAAAAGTTAAAAAAATTTATTTAGGTGTACATACATTGACAAATTATATAAATGCAATAACATTAAATTATTAGAAATAAAAACATTCATTTAAAACTTTAATTACATAAGAGTTAACGGTTATATGATGATAACAGAGCTGGACATTTTTTTCTATTGTGCCCGATGTTTCTACAATGCCCACATCGTTTTTGTTCTGTTGACTTCTCCCGAATATCCATATCACAATGTATTCTAGTAGATTTTGGACGACCTGAGTCCCTCAATAGCAATGGATCTGGTACAATTGTAAGCCAAGTTTGAATCTCATTTGGGTCTCTTTCGTTTCCTATGGGCGGAAACTCAAATTCATATACCTTGAAAACTTGTGAAAGTTGGTATACAGGATCAACATAATTTTTGTAGTCCAAATGCGAATGTGAGCAAGCAGCAATGACATGAGAGCATGGATATTTGAGTGCTTGAAAGAAACCACAATCGCACCACCTCTCTTGCAGATTAACTCTGAAAGAGTTAGCTCAATCCCTTGCAGCGGACGTGGCATTTCGGTTACACGAAACAATTCACGGGTGCGAGAAAAATTTGTAACTAACATCCCATTTGATGTAGCCACTTTTTTCTGTAAATCGGCTACTAGTCTTGGGTGGTAAATATGTCCGTTTTGCATCCAAGTAAGAGCTTGTCCACCGAGTTTTGCAAAGAGTTGACCCAAACGAAAATAAGTCGTTTGACCAACGCCGTGACTGGTAAATGACGCGCCCCTTTAAGGTTGAATTATTGCTTCAGCCAAGTTTGTTGTCATATGACCATAGCGATACCCCCCGTCATAGCATTTGTCCACATTTCTTGCTGATGTCCATAATGTACTCGCACCCCTTCTTATTTTTGCCAAACAGCTCTTGTAGCATCGACTCAAACTTTGAGGTAAGAGTTCGTAACCTAAGCCATTAGGAATATGTAATAGTTAATATGAAGTATAAATAAGTAATAAGAAATTGATAGAAAAATTGGGAAAAAGTAACATACCCATCCGCACGACTAACTGACGTTCATCGTTATTCTGTATTTTCCGTAATAGTTTGCAGCAATATACGGACACAATAACGATGTTGAACATGTGGAGGTCTATACATTGTACCCAAGAGTCCATTGCTGCTTTTATCCCGGCTCCTCGGTCTGAAATAATGCATAGTCGTTCCCTGGTGACAACATGTAAACGTAAATTTTTAAGGAAAAAACCCAAGACTCAGTGTCTTCTCCTTGAACGAGGGCAACGCAACAGGAAGAATATTGCGTCCATCTTTGATCGTTAGGCAGCGGCAATGATGTGCATCTCTTCTTTGTTTCTTTTAGTAACTTTTGTCTTCGTTTCTCTTGGACACGAGGTTGTTCAAATAACTACCTTTGAAGTTGGAACATTTTCACATAAAAAATCATTCATGAACCATATTTTTCAAATAATTTTCTTATATGTATTTATTTTCAATTCTTTAATAATTATCAAATGTTTTTAAAATAAAGTTTCGTTAAAGTACCAATGTAATATCACATCATTAAAGTATAATGCTGACATATGTTGAAATCACCTTAATCCCAACAGCAAAATATCTAGAAGTGTACCTGTATTTGTTAAACTGCAGTGTACACGGTATTCCTGTAAACGAACCGAACGCACACGAATGAAAGTATATTCAAATTCGTTCATTTAATAAATAAACGAACATAAATAAATACGAACATAAACGAACAATTTTTTTTGTTCATGTTCGTTTGTTAAGGAATATAATTTGTTCATGTTCATTAATTTAATAAATAAACGAACATAAACGAACACAAATATAAATGAACACGAATATAAACGTTAGAGACTCTACCTTCCATTGTTCTTACATGAAAAATAGTCGACAATACAAATCAACCAAATCTACAGTGATAAATAGCGTAAGAGCTGATTAGCAGTGATGAAATGTATGAATATATCAAATATTTCGATCGATCTTTTAAATATATTAAATGATTCACACGACTTTAATTTAACGATATAATATTTATCTTAGTGGTCTATTATTACATATGAACAATCATTTTTCACTACGTTATTTTAATAAATTCGCCGGCTAAAAGTTTTGTAACATCAATGTCAGATTTTAGTGAGGTTTGTTAATAATGGTCATTTCCGTTAACAGAGTAGAAATTTAATCGCATGAAGATTTCGAACGGTACAAATTGAACTACAAGCCAATAATAGATCTGAAATTTCTTCGATGCTACATATCGTAACTGATATTATTGCTAAACCACCATTCAAAATTTTAACGTACCTAAAGTCTACTCCACAACTAAATGTCACACAAGAACTATGAACACAAAAGTTCATTGTCAAAGTGTATTTTCTACTTATTAATGGGTTCTTCATGTAAAACTCATTACTTCCGCTATTACACTATTTTTCAGAAATTACATAGAAACCTTTGTTTTGTTTTCTGACAAATTCTATATATTTTTCTCTTTACTGATGCTCATATACTTTCGATTATTACCTTTATTTTCTCATCTATTTCTAGAAAGAAGTATGATGTTTTATTAAGTTTTAGATGTGAAGATACCCGCAATAACTTTACATATTAACTATTAAGTCAAATAAAACAGAGAAATAGATGAAAATATACATGTAAAACTTCAGATTTCACTATAATATAACTTGTTTTGAAGCTTTCAGTGATCGTCTCCACTTTCTAGTGAACACTAGAGTTTGGGAAAAAAAAGGAAAAAATGAATATATGTGTGAAGTGTCTCACGGGTTAACATATTAGATTTAATCTCCAAATAAAATTGAGTTAATTATAGAGTTGGTCATCAGAATATCAGATTAATTAATATTTTTAAGATACTTACAAATTGATCACCAAAATTGATTTAAGAAGATTGGATTAAACATAAATGAATGAACATAAACAAACATAAACGAACATAATCGAACGAACATAAACAAAAATAATTGAACATAACCGAACGAATATAAACATTCACAAACGTAAACGAACATAATCGAACGAACATAAACAAAAATCTTGTTCATGTTTGTTCATTTAATAAATAAACGCACATAAACGAACTTCCCACCGCACAGTTCATGAACTTTTCGCTGAACATTCAATTCATTTACCGGAATATGGAAAACAATCCTTAAGAATATTCTAAATTTAAATAGAATAAACTCCATCATAAAGGAAATAAAAGCTGCATTACCACACATTAAAGTCAAGTTCCAAGCCTAAATCTTTGCATACTTAAAAAAGTATCAGCTTTCAAAGCCTATAACACCATTTCAATTACCAAAAGCTTGCACTAAAAATAGATTAACGAAGCACAACAATTTTGAGAATGCCATCTTATTCTCAATTCAGGCCGGTTGGTCATTTCATTCGCCAGAAACCCCCATCTGTCTAGGATGTTCGGTTTTATCATTGCTGAGCGCATTGCACCCTCTGGGCACCACCATGCATGTCTTCATCTTCTCGTAGGCCTCTTGGCTTGTGCCTGTTTCCGACGCATCTCTTCCTCCATGTTAACATTGTGCAAAGTGGTTTCCTCACACTCATCCAGCTCCATGTCAGTTAGCTGAACCGAGTTCCTGGGCGGCAGTACAGCCTCTAGTGCCTTGCATTGGTCCGGGCTCAAGGAGTCAGGGAAATCAACGGTGAACTTAATGTACAGTTTACCTCTCATAAACGGCCTCTGATAAATCGGCATTCCTTCATCGTTATTGCTGCTTTGTATTGATCTATGTTAAACAAAGGGAACAAACACTGATATTAGATACAGCTAGAACAGCCTTTCCAAAGATAAATATCAACGGGTAATAAAAAAGTCGATAGCTAGATACTTGCACATGAAGATCGACGGCCAATGACACAACTGTTAAATTAACAAACTGTAAAGACATTTATCATTACAGGAAAAGAAAATTCCTCACCAGGCTTAACCTTCCCCAGGTTGGGTTTTGATTAGGAGCTGTCTGCCATCTAAATGAGTCATTATGAACTGAAAGCCGCAAAGGGCCTCGAGTGTCATGTATGCTCAAGAAATAAGTCTTCACCCTTCTTTTAAATCTTGGATGTTCTTTCTGCTGTAGGATAAATACAATGTCCCCAGTGATTGTGTCAGGCTGCAAAAGAGAAAATTTCACACAATCAACCAAGTTAGCAACAGCTAGAAAGCAGCGGATTCATTAAGAAATTGCAGTCTTATTTAAGAGATAATTAGCCTTACTGCTTCATCACTTCTCCTGGGAAAGTAATCTTTTGTCCGTTCTGCATACCCTTTTCAACAACGACCTCCAAGACTTTCTTCTCTTGCACAACCTTATCACCTTTGCATTGTGGGCAACGATCCTTGTCATTAATGGTCTCACCAGTACCCTTACAATCATTGCA